AGTGAGACTCAGTCTAAAAAAAAAAAAAAAAAAAAAAAAAAAAAAAAAAAAAAAAAAAAAAAAAAAAAAAAGAATAAGAAAAACTTCAATACAAAAACATAAAACCATATATAATTCACTATCTATCTGCCACAGAATAGTAGGAATTGAAAATGTGATGGATGCAACCAATAGAAAAAAACCTGAAGCCATTCTGCAGCTTTTCTAAAAAAGTGGTAGAGAAGATAACCTAAAAATTATAATCATTAAAATTAATTCCTGTGCAGTAAGACTACAAATATAGCCATGTATCAACAACAGACATACAATCTCAGAAATGTGTCATTAGGCAATTTTGTGGTTGTGTGAATATCACAGAATGTATAATAATTGTATGTGCTATTCTTTCACAAGACTAGCAGCAGTACAACAGGTTTATTTACAACAGCATCACCACAAACTAATGAGTAATAAACTGTACTGCAATGTTAGCATAGCTATGATGTCAATGGGCAAGAAGAACTTTTCAGTTCCATTATAAACCTATGGAACCACAATTATATATGCAGTCCACTGCTGTCCAAAACAACATCAGGCAACATATGACTATAAAGATTTGCTTTAAATACAGGCTCAAAAAATGAGAAAGCTGAAAATTATACAAGTATACCTTAAAATGGCTTATGAGTTTTTAATAATTGATAACCAAATCTAATCAAAACTATTCATGGCTACAAATAGAGCACAAAATTTAAAAATGAACAAAGTACATAAAAAATCACAAATGAAAATACTGTAATACTAATATTTTTATTTATTTTTCATTTTAATGCCAGAATATAAAATCAGTTTGGAAAAGCAGTAAAAATTAAAAGAAAGAAAAATTAGCATGTATTTTTCTCACTAACCTGGTTTATCGGTTCATTGAAGTTGGTGATGAGCCCTGCACGCAGAGTAGTTTTCTCCTCCTCTGAGAGAGCACTGTAAAACAAAATACATTGATTATGCCAAAGAATGCCACCTAATAATAAACACTATTGTAAATTTTAAGAATAAAAAGCCTTCAAACATGTGTCTCTGATTGGTTTTTGTAAATAAAAAGGATTATTTCCATTACTTGTACATTGACACTATTGTGAACTTTAAAACTAAAAAGTCCCCTAAACAACTGTCCCTGATTTGTTCTGGTGAATAAGATTATTTCTATTACTTGTATGTTGGCACATCAAATAAGTCAGAAGCATAAAATTCCTTCACAATTGAATAAATGGGAAGCACCACACAGTAAGCAAGAGGAAATAAGACAAATCCAGGTAATCAATGTATTTCATGCTCACTTTTATTGATGTAAAAATAGTTGTCTACAAAAAAAAAAAATCGCTAAAAACAACCTATACAAGCAAATATTACCGGCTCCATTGGCTTCTTTCATAAAATCTGTGTCAGGCTATTCTACGGGGAAAGAGATTCAGAATCAAAGAATATTTGGGATGAGTGGCTTACTAGAAATCAACTAATTTAAATCTTTCATTTTACATCTCCAAAAAGAATGAATACAATATTAGTAATTTTGACTGCATATGAGAAAGGAAAATAGAAAGCTACTGGACAGGAAAGGAGAACACTACTATCTAAAACCGTATGCATGTTCAATTCTGAACCATATGAATGTGTTGTTAATTTTAAAATTAAGGTCAAGTGCAGTGGCTCAGGCCTATAATACCAGCACTCTGGGGAGGCCAATGTAAAGTGATCACTTGAGCCCAAGAAGTTGAGGCTGCAGTGAGCTATGATTGCACCACTGCATTCCAGCTAGGGCAAGAGAACAAGACCTTGTCTCTAAAATACTTTTTTTAATAGTAAAAGTACATTAAATGTTAACGCCTCATTTTAAGGTTTTCCATTCTGGGTATCACGGACTAGTACGATTTTGTATAAGGGAAATCATCCCAACAAGATCAGCTATAAAAGCTGTATAATTTTTTTTTATTTTTTTTGAGACAGTTTCACTCCTGTTGCCCAGGCTAGAGTGCAATGGTACGATCTTGGCTCACCACAACCTCTGCCTCCTAGGTTCAAGCATTTCTCCTGCCTCAGCCTCCCAAGTAGCTGGGACTACAGGCGTGTGCTATCACGACCGCCTAATTTCTTATTTTTAGCAGAGACGGCGTTTCTCCATGTTGGTCTGGCTGGTCTCGAACTCCCAACCTCAGGTAATTCACCAGCCTTGGACTCCCAAAGTGCCGTGAGCCACCACACCCGGCCAAAAGCTGTATATAATTTTTTTTAAAAGGTTAAGATAGCCATTCCAAGCTGAATTGTGCTCCCATAAAATGAAATGCTCAAGTCTTAAACCCAGGTACCTTTGAATGTGACTTTATTTGGGAATATATAGTGTCTGTAGATGAAATTAAGGTAAAATGAGGGCATCCTGGATTATGGTGGTCCCTAAACCAATGACTGGTGTCCTTATAAGAGGAAAATTTGGACATAGAAATGACTCAGGAAAGGTCATGTGACAACAAAGGCAGAGACTGGAGAGATGCAGCTACAAGCCAAGAAACACGAAGGATTTCCAGTCACCACCAGAAGCCGGGAAGCCACAAGGAGAAGAACTCTTTCCTAAAAACCTTCAGAGGGAGCACAGCCCTGCCAACTACTTGATTTTGGACTTCTAAAGCCTCCTGATCTGCAAGAGAATTTTTTTTTTTTTTTTTTTTTTTCAGAGAACGAGGTCTAGCCTCCTGATCCCAAGAGAATAAACTTTAGCTGTCTTTCCCCACTATACCACCCGCCCCTCCGCCCCCAGAGAATGAGGTCTTACTCTGTTGCCCAGGCTGGTCTTGAATTCCTGGACTCAAACGATCTGCAACCCAGTCCCCCAAAGTGCTGGGATTCCAGGCATGAGCCACTGCTGTACCCATCTGTCTTAAGCCACCTAGTTTGTGGTAATTTGTTATAGCAGCCCTGGGAAACTAATACAGCACCTAAAAACAATCTATGCAGCCAAGACTTAGAGACTTAGGTCTCAGGAAGAAGGCAATGATTTGTTATAAACTAGCACATTTCCCCTTAAGCATATGCCCACAAGAAATCAAGTTGAAAGCATCAGCTAAGACACTGAAGAGCTACGGAGAGATTTCAGCAGGTCTCAATGTCGAAGAGACAAAAATTGGCTCACAGCCCACCAAAAGGCAGTATCTTGGTAAACACCCAAGGCTTTGCAGTTGAAACCCCAGGAAGGTTGCAACCTGGAATTAACACTAAATAAGGTCAGGTATGGTAGCTCACACCTGTAATCCCAGCACTGTGGGAGGCTGGCAGATCACCTGAGGTCACAGGTTTGAGACCAGCCTGGCCAACATGGCAAAACCCCGTCTCTATTGAAAATGCAAAAATTAGCTGGGTGTGGTGGTACATGCCTGTAGTCCCAACTACTTGGGAGGCTGGGGAAGGAGAACTGCTTGAACTGAGTAGGTGGAAGTTGCAGTGAGCCAAGATCAGGCCACTGCACTTCAGCCTGGGCAATAGAGCAACACTCTGTCTCAAAAGAAACCCAGTAAATCAGAAAGAGATTACACTCAACTACATCAAGATTGAGGTCCTATTCCACTTGTTTGCCCAAAGAAAATAAAATTCTCTCTAGAGAAAGAGAATTTAAAGCCTCTCCAATTTTAACTAAACAATGTTAAGCATTCAATGAAACTTATCAGGCATATACCAATAAATAGGGAAAAATGACTGAAACCAAAACACAAATAGAAACAGGAGTACACTGTAGATATAAAAATCACACTCAAAACAATTATACGTTCAAGAAAATAGGAAAGAGATGGAGAATTTCACCAGACAACTAGAATCTTTTTTTTTTTTTTTTTTAATACTTTCAAGTTTTTAGATTCAGGGGATACATGTGCAGGTTGGTTACCTGGGCATATTGCACAATGCTAAGGTTTAGAGTACAACTGAGCTAGTCACCTAGGTACTGAGCATAGTACCCAACAGTTAATTTCTCAACCCCTGCCCCCACCCCTCTCTAGTAATTCCCAGTGTCATTGCTGCCATCTTCAGTTCACGAGTACCCAATATTTGGCTCTCACTTACAAGAACATGCAGTATTTGGTTTTCTGTTCCTGCGTTAATTCACTTAGGATAATGACCTCTGGTTGTATCCATGTTGCTGCAAAGAACATTACTTCTTTTCTTTTTATGGCTACATAGCATGTCATGGTGTATAGGCAGCAAATTTTCTTTATCCAATCCACTGCTGATGAGCACCTAGGTTGATTCCACAACTTCGCTATTATGAATAGTGCTACAGTGAACATATGGGTGCATGCATCTTTTTAACAGAACAATTTATTTTCTTTTGGATATACATCCAGTAACAGGAATGCGGGGGTCAGCCAGTATTTCTAGATTCTTTGAGAAATCTCCAAACTGCTTTCCACAGTGACTAATTTACTTACCTACCAACAGTGTGTAACTAACTTCCCTTTTCTCCACATGCTCACCAGCATGTTGTTTTTTGACTTTTTTTTTTTTTTTTTTTTGAGACAGGGTCTCACTCTGTCACCCAAGCTGGAGTACCATGGTACCATCACAGCTCACTGTAGCCTCTAACTCCCACCAGGCTCAGGTGATCCTCCTGCCTTAGCTTCTCAAGTAGCTGGGACCACAGGTACACACCAAAACACCTGGCTGATTTTTCTATTTTTTGTAGAGATGGGGTTTCGCCATGTTGCACAAGCTGGTCTTAAACTCCTGGGCTCAAGTGATCTGCTCACTTCAGTCTCCCGGAGTGCCGAGATTACAGATGTGAGTCACCACACCTGGCCTTAACTTTTTAACAATAACCATTCTGACTGACGTGACATAGAATCTCACTGTTATTTTGGTTTGCATTTCTCTGATGATCGGTGATGTTGAGCTTTTTTTCATATATTTGTTGGCCACTTGTATGTCTTCTGTTGAGTAGCGTCTGTTCATGTCTTTTGCCCCCTTCCCCCCTTAATTTTTTTGAGACGGAGTTCGGCTCTCGTTGCCCAGTCTGGAGTTGAATGGTGGAATCTCGGCTCACCACAATGTCTGCCTCCCGGGTTCAAGCAATTCTGCTGCCTCAGCCTCCTGAGTAGCTGGGATTATAGGCATGTGCTATGATGCCCGTTTTGCCCATTTTTTAATGGGGTCATTTGGCTTTTGTTTGTTTGATTGCTTACGTTCCTTATAGATTCTAGATATTAGATATTTGTCAGATGTTAAGTTGTGAATATTTTCTCCCCATTTTGTAGGCTGTTCTTTTCGTTAATAGTTTTTTTTTCTTTTCTTCCACCCAAATCTCATCTTGATGTTGATAGTTTCTTCTACTATGCAGAAGCTCTTTAACTAGGTCCCACTTTTTGATTTGTTTATACTACAATTGTTTTTGACTACTGTCTTAGTCATAAATTCTTTCTCAAGGCCAATGTCCAGAATGATGCGTGTTTCCTAGTTTTTTTTCCCCCATTATTCTTACAGTTTTAGGTCTTACATTTAAATCTTTAATCCATCTTCAGTTAATTTTTGTGCATGGTGAAATGTAGGGGTCCAGCTTCAAATCTTTTGCATATGGCTCCCCAGCCCTCCCAGTACCATTCACTGAATAGTGAGTCCTGTCTCTGTTGCTTATTTTTGTCAACTTTGTTGAAGATCGGATAGCTATAGGTGTTTGGCTGTATTTCTGGTTTCTCTATTTGTTCCACTGGTCTACGTGTCTGTTTTTGTACCAGTAGCATGCTATTTTGGTTACTACAGCCTTTTAGTATAGTTTGACATCACGTAAAGTGATGCAGCCGGCTTTGTTCTTTTTGCTTAGGACAGCTTTGGCTACTTGAGCTCTTTTTTGGCACCACATGGATTTTAGAATAGTTTTTTTCAGATCTGTGTAAAATGACATTGGTAGCTTGAGAGGAATAGCGCGGAATTTGCAGATTGCTTTGGGC